AAAAGTAATGAAACAATTTCAAACTCTCAACGTTTTTAACTTACACAATTAGAATATACATTCTCAGACTGTTTAACAGTCTCAAAACAACCACTCTACATGTTTCAACGTGTATCACGTCATCCTCAGGAGTGCTAAGTGTGAAAAACAACCACTACAAAACCATTTATACCAAGGTTGATATTAATCATGTGACTCATACTGTTACATAAATAAACGGTAAACCCTAAAGAAGGTTACGACATCGGTGTATTTTTTGACTTGCTAACCCTTCATCCTTATTCAAAGTTTGGCCATTGTTATTGTATTTAATTATTTCAATAGATTCTCGGGTATTTCTAATAGTCATATCATTCCTTGAGCCAAGATAACAGTTGCCTTGGGTTAGACTTAATAAGCGTCTTCAGAGCATCAATATCAATTCCAACAAGTCGGCCATCACAGTTTTTAATGCTAAATTTGCTGAATCGTCGTTGATACTCACGAATATTCAAAACATTTCCATAAACTTCTTTGATATTCTTTGTGGCTACAGAGACGTTGTTTCCCTTCTTGTATTGAAACAGCATTACATACCGAATGTGTGTCTTGTCGTGTGCCATCACTATAAGGGATTAGAGTATACTAAACTTGACACGTTATATAGGCTACACTAACGTGGCGTTTAGGAGTTCGTTTAACAATTATACGTGACGTACGTTTTTTTGTGGGGTGGTTAAAGAAAGTGTTCCAAATCGTGACATTAACTACTTGACGACCTAATAGCTTAAAACTATAAAATACTAGCATTATTCGAATATAAAATTTAGCAGACTGGATAATCGACCCTTGGTATCAGTTGGTGGATGTTTCCTGATTTATCAGTCAATCGATACATTACTAACGTTTGGAAACCTCACTCCTTACTTAACTTAATACCTGAAACAAAGAGTCAAGATGGACACAATATATAAAGAAACTAGCTGGACTTAACATACATTTATCTCTACATCTTCTTTTCTTTGCTGGCAAACTTGATTGTCTCATTGGATGTCGATGGAGCATGATTATTGGTTCTTTTACTTTCTGGTAAGATGTACATTTATATATGTATTTAATACGAATATCAAAAATAAAACAATTTCAACCAATTGGTGTAAATAATTATAATATACAATGACAATATATTTGTAAGTAACCAAAGTCACAGTAATGTTTACATTAACGTAGCGAAAT